ATTTAAAACTAGTGAACATTCTACTGTAGCATTGGTTGCTTGCAACCCCAATGAAATAAGAATACATCATTGTTTAAATAAAAATTAGTTGATGTAATGTCTTAAATTTATTTAAAAAACAGGTATTGCACCATTTGAGAATGGTCACGTAATCAGGCTAAACAACAGTTTACAAGGCTTGGTAATATATGTATTATGTAGTTTGAAGTCGGAGCTACTGACTACAACACATTGCTGGTTATGTTCACACAACTGCACATTAGACATCTTAGTAATGTAAAGGATTACCGATATTCACGATGTGCGGTTAGATAAATCTAAATATCAATATTTTGTGGCCAGTAGATCCTAAATCGTTTGATGAGGCCAAAATTTTTCAAAGCGAATGGTCATGTCCGTATTTTGTGAACTTTACTTGGTTCCTGATCGATTATGGTTGGAGAAAGCATCCAAGTTATCTCAAGGTAAAAACTCTATTTATATAGCATCGAATGGCACATTAGGAATTTCTCCCGTATATTGATTCTCATTCTCAGAGTTTCTGCCTGCACAACATCTGGTCGGAAATTTTAAATCGTAAACCGTAAAATTAATGGAGAAAAAAACATCTGGTCAGATGAAATTGGAACGGGGGATCAACGGGAAGAGGAAGAGTGATTCTTACCGTTTCAATGGAGAAAAAAACAGTGAGCAGAGACGACAAGCGAAGCAGCAGCAGCTCAATGGTGTCGACAACAGGGTGGAGGAGGATGAAGCAGCAACAATGGAGGAGAATCAATGACGGAGGCGATGACTAGATCAAGGAGAGCAGCAACTTACAGAACCAAGGGCAGCAAGATGACGGAGTGGAAGAGGAGAAACGCAGAGCCAAGAGGTGATTTCTGGGAAAAAAGTCGAAGAGACGTTCTCAACCTTGTATGTTGTGGGGGGCAATTTTGATATTTTCCTTTTTTTAATCTACTTACCCTCCACTCCAATTTACCCGAGTGTCGCAAGGGTATTCGTTTACCCGGGGAGCCGATACCCGGGAAAATTAAACTTACAGTGGGTCCCACATAATTTTAGAATTCGAACACAGGTAGGGATCGACCAAACTTTCCCCCCCTTCACTTTACGAAAAACGAACATGGCCTTAGTGTTGTTGTCAAAAATCCCTTCAATTCAAAGTACTTATTTGCAAGCCTCCAAGAATTAGCCCAAGCAAGAATAGCTTCTTAAGCCCTTCCAAAGATGTACTTTTGTTGTCAAAAATCCTCTTATTCCACTCCTCCCAAATACCCACACATGACAATATGAAGGATACTCTCCAACAAATCCTGCCTTTCTTCTCCTAACTTGCTGCCCCTTAAGGATATCCCCCCCATAACATTTTGAGTTGTAGCCTAACTTAGGAATCAGCCATGCTATTTATTCATTGTTAAATTATCAGCCCATGAATATTTTCTTGCTACCTCAAGTCCTCAACCCATGTTACTTAAAATGGGGAAATGATCTCATTTTTCGAAATCCTGAAATCACCCCCATTTCTCTCAGGTTGGCGTAGTCCAATATTTTGCTAACAACCTGGATTTAGGCCTAGGTTAGAAGTTGAAATTGATATAAAATGTTTAACAAAAAACAGAATTTCATTCATGCGTCGGTCCACAGAGGCCACAAGTTCCATAAGATTGAACAACTCAATTGAATTCAATTGTACCACAGTTGTAATCTAATGACTGTTAAGCTTAATTAATTACTAGCAAGTATTGAAAAATGTCAGGATCTATTTCCCTGTCATAATCTCTTATTCACATCATACACCATAGTACTTATACATGTTCCAAATCAAGCAAACAACTAGAGAGAACCACCCCTCAGTGCAAGAACGAGATGAAGAACAGATCCACCTTCAATGTTGTAGTCCCGAGCAGTTTTGTCATCTGCAAGCTGCTTACCAGCATAAATAAGCCTGGAAGAAGGGGAAACACAGAAGATGAAGTTCTATTCCCAGAAAGGATCCATATTTATTATTCAACACTTCACATGATGAAAATTGATCAAAAGTTCAAAACCATCATCAGTGCGATCAGAAGCTTGAAAAAAGGATTCCATCATCAGAATATGGTTGCAGTCGATAGTAGATTTGACTCGCATGGTTCATAGCTAGGCACCATTTTTTAATTAGTCATATCTAGGCACCATTTCCAATAGATTTATAGGAGAATTTGCCAATTTAGCACAATTTTGCTGAACTGGTTCCCTGGTGTTGAGAAAAAAAAAAAGAGAAAAAAAACCAAAACAAAAGCATAGCAAATCTCCTGGGTCCGCTACAGTCGCATAGAACAGTTTATAGTCTCATAGCTCTTCATATTGGAACCAATATTAAATTGGTCTGGTTTTAATTGTTAGGAGTCATATTACATTGGTCGTTGGTTAAAATACTACGGACACTCAAAAACACAAGGGAAACAAAGCCATCTCACAACACCCAACATTTGGAACATAGTGTCAGTCAAGGTGGACCCCTTCTCCCTTGTTTGCGGGGGGGTCCCCAAGCTCAGATGTGTGATATAAGATAGCTTTTTTTCTCACACAAAGGAGGAAAAGAGTAATCTTTTTGTACTCTTATTATCACTTTGATATTTAACTAGGAAATAAAAGTATTCTATTTCCTGTGTTTTTCCCTTGGGAGGAGAGAATGGAAAAAGAATTACATTCAAGCGCCAAAAGAAATAAAAAGGAAAAGCAAAAGTATTCAAATTCAAATAACGTAAAAAAAATCCGATTGTTATGCATCATCTGACTATATTGATTCTTTGATGGATGATACCTTTACGTTAACCCATTCCAAATCAGACCCCAATCTGCAATCTACTTGTGTAGACACGGTGAAATAATGGGGAGCAAGATCTATTTAGGGATCTTGTAGCTCTGGAATCAGGACACTCCATTACCCTTTTCTATTAAGACTTGTGAATATCATCACATTGGTTAAACCCTCTTTTTAAGGATTTCAAGGTCCAGAGAAAACAAAGCTCAATGCAGATGTTCCTACTCATTAGCATGACAACACAAACAAAAGATTCACAATAATATGCAAAAATGGTTCCTTTGTTAATCTTTACCTACCAACAGTGCAAAGGGAGCATTCAAAATTTTATATGCATAATTCAAGTGAAACTGCATGTCTTGCAGAAGTTTTTGCGTTTCTTTTTCCTTTTTTTTTCTTTTTTCTTTTTTTTTTTTGGGGGGGGGGTCTTACCATCTATCTCTATCAATTAAGTTCATACATTAAAACTACAACATATTTGGTAGTGCTCTATTAGGACCAGGAGGGGGATTTATTGCCTGAGTTCACAAATAGTTCTAATTCGTAATGGAAATAAATAAAAACAAGAATTAGCTGCTACAAAATCAAGCTACTCTTACAGAGTATAGAATTTATATAGAGAACCAATTACATGGTGCAAATCAAGCGTATCAATACATAATGAAACAGTGTCAGAATTAACGAAAATCATCTGTTCCATTTAAAAACAACAGTAAATACATTTTTCTCTGAGAGAGTGTACCTTTGCTGCACTGGAGGAATCCCCTCTTTCTCCTCAACACGCTCCTTGATCCTTTCAATGGTATCAGTTGGCTCAATATCAATCTCGATTTCCTTTCCAGTAAGAGTCTTGACCTTGATCATGGTTCCGCCCCTAAGCCTCAGGACCAGGTGCAAGGTCGATTCCTTTTGGATGTTGTAATCTGCAAGAGTACGGCCATCTTCCAATTGTTTACCAGCAAAAATTAGTCTTTGTTGATCAGGGGGAATGCCCTCCTTGTCCTGAAAAGGCATTTATTTTCACCATCAAGTCAGGGAAGCACAAAAGTAACCATTCCAAGCATATTACCGGCTCAGACTCCTGGACAGGCGTCGGATTCCGATTCATGTGTCCCAGTCCATCGTCTACTGGGTATAAGTAAATCCCAAGAACTCCAAACCAGTTCCTCAATCAATCAATGAAAAGAAAAAAGTATAGAGAAACATACGAAAAGGAAAAGAAAATCAAATAAAAGTTCGATAGTCGACACAGTACAAAAATCTGACAGTAATAAATACAACAATTTCAAAGTAAATCAAAGAAACCCTAATTACCCAGAACTCCAGAACTCTTCAACAACCATACCCCAAAAAAATACAGGGCAAAGCCCAAAAGAACTCCATTATTTCATAATAATCTCGATATTACTAAGAAAAAAGTACAATAAATCATGAAAAATGATATTTTCTTACTGAAAACCCTAAATTAGAGCCCAAGAATAACTAAGAACCACAAAATAAGATACAAAACGAAAAAGAAAAATAGAAATCACGTGTAAAGTTAGCAGCGAGAACCCTAGCATCATCGGAAAATACAAATGCAGAGGAATAAAAACAGCAAAAAAAATGGGAAAAATACCTGAATTTTGGCTTTAACATTATCGATGGTGTCGCTGCTTTCGACCTCGAGAGTGATGGTTTTTCCCGTTAGGGTTTTCACGAAGATCTGCATCTTGTTACTTGTGCTCAGACGAATGGAAAATCTCCAGCAAAGAAAAAAAAAAGAGACACGGACGAAAACACGGGGCTCGAGTCCTTGAGATATGTATTTGATTTGTGGCGGCATTTATACGCAACTACGGATATGAAAACAGGTCGGGTTAGATCCGAGATGTTAAGACTTAGGAGTGATGGACGTGGACCCCTACTGATGGTAAATGGAATGCAACCCGAAACCAGGATTTCTGATTCGGAGTCAAATGTGAGACAATATGAGTCAGCTTTTTTAATATAATGAAAATATTTATTGGAAATTAAAAATACGAAAACCAGGGATATAAAGGATGCGTGCCAGTGTGTGGTGACACTGGTGAGTTCGGATCAGCTGAGATATTCGCAATGTGCGCTGGGTAGATCAGTGGATGTGGCTAGCTATCTCTTGTGATCAGCAGAATTTGTGTGGTTAGATATAACTAACTTTTATTTATCTGCAAAAAATATATATTTTATTAGGTTTGGAAAATTTTAACTTTTCTTATCTATGATAAAAAAAAGTAAGGGATTTGTATTGTTAGAACCTATGCATAAATTTTTTTAAGGGAAAACTATAAGGAATTACAATGGACTTTGGGTGATTTTGAGAGGAGAAAGTTGGTCAATGGGATTTTGATTTTCATTGACTAAGATACCCATCTCCCATGTGGGAAAGATGTCAACACTTGAATGTGACAAAATTGTCTCTTTTAATAATAGTTTGTTATGGATAAAATGATCATTGTTTTATTTACTTGGAAAATAAAAGAACATGGGTAAATACCTTCCCGAAAAGCAAGTGGGGCCTTAAGGCTCCATTTGGTTTGTGGGAAGATTTAGGTGGGATGGAATGAGATGGAAAAATGTAAAAATTTATATTTCCATTGTTTGGTTTTATGGGAAAATAATAAGAAAAACACTGTTATGAGCTAGTTCTTTGTCGGATTCATATAAGATGAAGAACAGATTTCCATGACTGCAGTGGCAATCAAAGAGAGAGAGAAAATGAGGGAATGAGAGAGAGACAGGAGTGTTGAGAAAGCAAATCGTCGTTGTCGAGAGTTGCAGTGGCAATCAGATAAAGGGGGGAATACGGGAAGAATAGGAAGAAAAAGAAGGTGAGGGAGAAGAGAAAAGAGGAAGATGGAGGGAGAGACAGTATCTGGTGAAGATCGCCGCTGTCCCTCACAAATCCCTAACCCCACGAATCCCTCACAAAAGAGATAAGAGAAAGGGAAGAAGATGGGAAGAATAGGAAGAAGGTGAAGGAGAAGAGAGAAGAGGAAGATAGAGGAAATCGCCATAGATCCCTCCCAGATCGTCGTTGCCCCTCATACTGGTTCCTAGCTAGCATATAGTGAAGAAGAAGGACAGTAACAGTTAGTTTGATGGTAATAGTGGTTTCTCGAATTTTTCCATGATTTTGGGATTTGACATTCAACATTTTTCTCATCCCATCCCTCTATTTCCCTCAAAACAAATGGGAAAAAAGGGAATATTTTTTGGAATATTCCCTTTTCCCATCGCCATCCCACAAACCAAACGAAGCCTAAGGGTCTAAACTTTCACTTGCGATACAAAGCTATGTATTTTGATATTTGAAAAGCCTATTCCTTTCCAATTAACTTATCTCTCTCACTCTCTCTCTCTCTCTCTCTCTCTCTTCTTGTTCTTACCACCAGCAAATTGCCCACAATTCTCTTCTTTTTTTCTTTCTTTTCTTTTCCTCTCCTCTCTTCTTCTCCTTTGCTTTCTTTTTCACTTCTTCTTTTTTCCCTTCTCTCCTCTACTACTACAACCAAATTAATTGCAGTCAAAACCACCATTCCATCTCTTTCTTATCAACATCATCATCTTCTTCTTCTTCTTCTTCCTTTCATCTCTTCCTTCTTGTACGTCTCTTAGTTGGCCAAATGTAGTTGAAGAGGGTAATTGTATAGAACATATTTTGGTGAATTCTCTTCCCCTTCCTTTCTTTCTCCTCCTCCTCCCCCTCCTTCCTTTCTCTCTCCTCCCCTTTTTGCTCTCTTTTTTTTTCTCACTTTCTTGCTTTATTTCCAGTAACCTAAACATAAGTAAAACTAATGGTTCTGCTCCAGCCATCCATCTAAGGTTCTATCTTCACCATCCTACTCGTAAACTGTTCCCACATCCATATGTGGCCATAACATGGGACACTATGAGTATGCATTGGGAATATCTCCCTTGTTCATGGTGAGATGTTCTCAATACACAATGGTAGTGTGTTGTGGGAATAGTTTGTGGGTAGGGGACATGGACCTTGCCATTAGATTTCCTACTTCAAAACTTCATTTTCGAGCTATGTTAGGAGTCCACAATTTGTTTTATTGTTGTCAATCCATCATTGATCGTTGAAGGCTTGAAGCCATTAATTTGTTGCTTGATACCTAATGAGGGCGGATTTGGCCCCCCAATGACATTGTGACACATGGCATCCTGAAACAGCTGGACGACACCCAGACGCCACCTAGGTGATGATTTGGAGTCCCATATCATAGTTCATCTTCGCCCCAACCTGGCGACCTGCCTTTACCGCCAACCTAACGATTTTGACCACAACTTAGGCCGGCTAGGAGCACCTCGTCTATGGCCGACCTGTAGCACCTTGTCACTAGCCAATGTGACCTCGACGCGAAGAGAGACCTCCCTCGAGGGCTTTCCGACCTGACTGAGGTTCAGGAGGCGACCTGCGAGTTGTGCTCACCGACAAATTCGGTATGCATATCCTGACACTCCCAAGTTTCTCGGAAGTTGGCCCACGTACCGAGTGTTCCGAAGGATGGCCAACGTGCGTGGCAGTTACCTCTGGGGATCTCAGACCGGTTAGGCAACCTCCCAAAAATCTCAGGTGTGGTGCGTGAAGCCCACGCCAAACAAAGCCTATATAAAGGCACCAACCCCAATGACACGGGGAGGTACGTGCGATCATTTGGTCACTGGTACACTTATCATTCAACTTTCAACTCACAATACTAACTTAAGCATCAGAGCGACCTCGCCGAGTTAGCCGCTTCATATTCTCTGACCTTCACTATTTTGCAGAGCGAACCAGCTCGCCACGCAGCCAAGTTCCAGATCATCCTCCAGTTAGGATCATCTAGATCATGCCCCATCAATACCCATAACTATCAAGTTATATGCACCATGTTATCTAAAAAAACCACATATTTGGATTTAAACATTTTTTTTTCTTTTTTTTTTGTTTTCTCTAGTGCTATGTTGATCGATTGTAGGTGGCCATGGGCATCGATGGATACAAAATTGACAATTCATCAATTCATTAGGCCAATGCAAATCCTCAGTTAGAGAATCCAATGGCTATATGTCTTCTACAATTCCACTCACTTTCCTTCTTTTTTTCCCAATCATAATTTCTACATCTTTCCTAGTTTCCCCAATCTTTGTTGTAAGGTTGCTTTTTCTTGTTGTGTAAAAGTACATCGGTGGAATTCAACACCGGTTTTAAAGCTAGTGAATTGTTGTGCTTTGAAAAATTTGATTATCAATGTAAATATTATATCATTAATTTTTTTTATGTAAAACTCTATCATGAGTGGAGTTTTACATTGATTTACAATGCAAAACTACACTCCATCCAAACGCCGACAAATACAGACAGGGGTGGAGTTTTACACCAGTCCGCATTTACAATGCAAACAAATGTAGTCGAACGTGTTGTTCTATTAGTTCAAGCGTGAGAAAGAATATGAAGAATCAAATTAAAGTTGGGTTTTAGAGAATAAAGAAATAAAAGGGCAAAATGGTCTCGAAAAATAAGGAAAGGGCACTTTAGGGTTTTAGAAAAGTTTAAAAATGCACATAACATCACATGAGCAACTTAACCAACACTGGTGCCTAATGGCGCCTAGTTATGAATAAACGGTTTATTAAATACTTTTTTCGATTTTGAAGACAAATCAATTACAAACATTTATTTAATAAATGGAAGCTATAACAAATACATACTTTACGAATACCAAAATCGCATTAAGAAACTTTCCCCTCTTCACACTAATGCGAACTGTATGATTACATTATGAATTCTTACCCATAGATATTGATCTGTGTGATAATAATGAGCTAATCATATAAAAAAATCTTGTTTTTGAATTTGATCATGGAGTAAGTAGAAATGCGCCAATGTCGATACCCAACCACTAATATCCTCTCCTAGCCAAAAAAACAATATCCTTCATTTGTTATATAAAAAAACACTAATATCGTATGAACATTTGAATCCAAAAGGGCAATGTACCAAACACAACCTATATGGTGATGGAAATTTGTACTTAAAACACCAGTGGTATCAAACAGCCCCTAAGGAGAATTGACTTTTTTGGGGGGGTAAAGAAAAGCAAATTTTATTCACAAAAAGAAAATGAGAAACATCAATAAGGCGAGATAGGGCCTTAGGAAATTCATTTGGCTCTAAGAGAACCTCATTTATATCCAAAATTAACTTTGTCAAAAAAATCAGCCACCCTATTTGTCTCTCTACACACATGAGTAAAGGTAAAAGACTCAAAATGGTTGTAAAGACTCAAGCTGTTCACAACAATCAGAGAGACAAATTGGATAACAATCATTTGAAAACCCCTTATCTCTCATTCAATGAAATCTCGTCTTATGGCTTCCAACTATTGGGTAAGGATCCGCATTGGGGGGGGGGGGGGGGGGTACCAGCACCGGATGGGGGTCCCCTTATGATTCCTCAAAATGAACCCAAAGCCACCATGTTCCTTCGACAAGGATCCATTAGTGTTAACATAGATGAGCCTCAAAGCGAGAGGTTCCCATCGAAGCCATAAGCCCTCAGGATTAGAAAAGGAGGCTTGGACCCCCCCAATTTCTGATAAATTCATGAGTAGCAGTTGAGTCTTCAACTACTATTGAGTAGCGATGGGGGGTGATAATCATTTCGAAAAAACTCTCTGGTTCCTCTCCAACTAAATATGGTAAATCACTGCATTCCAAGCCAAGCAAAAAAATTCGTCTGAGAATACCATTCTCCCTCGAGCGAGTGTGACTCCATTCAAAAAGGTGGTTCCCAAGATAAGATATTAGGCCACATTAATCGCTAAACCTCCACCGAAAAATTACAAAGAGAAAAAAATATAGTCATAATATTTAGGCTCACATCTGCACAGGACACATTTTGCATCACTGATAACGATCCCATGCCTAGATAGCTGATCTTTAGTAGATAGAGCTTTTCGGAAAGCAAGCCAGTAAATGAAGGAGTGGCAAGGGATATTCCCATGAAACCAAACTAGGACGAAAGGGGTCCAATTAGGGTTACTAACGCAAATACAATTCCAAGCTGACTTCATTGTGAATTTACCGCTCGGTTCAGGGGTCCAAACAACTAAGTCTCAAGAAGGCTTCTAAGATTTTAACTAGGTGAAGGTCGTTACATAATTCCCGAAGAATTGGGATTTGGGAATTTGGAGGAATCCATTGGTAGTTACTAACAAAGGAACTCACCTTGGCCACTTGGGAGGCTTGAATAATTCCACTTTGGATTACTTCAAGGATTTGGGAGATCAACCCCCTCCCATGCCAAGGGTCAAGTAAGAGGTGGGTGTGATGACCATTGGCAATCAGATGAGTAACAAAAGGTAATGCAAGGTCTTACACTTTGATAATGCTTCTAACAACCCATGAACATACCCTTGGCATGGGCAAAGACCAAATAGAATTTTGCCTTAAGTATCTTTTAGTGAACCAATTCAGCCACAAAGATTCACCTTCCCCACCAGCTAGCCTCCAAACTTGGCGCAACAGGAGTGCTGAATTCCAGTCCTTCACTCTTTGGAGGCCTAAGCCTCCCTCCGTCTTAGGGAACAACACATGGCCCAACTAACATTGTAGGCGCCCCTATCCCCATTGCTAATCCGCAAGAATCTTGAACATAACTTCTTAATCAAATCCACTATACTATGTGGCAAGAGAGCAATGTTGCACCAGTATAATAGCTGGCCATATAACACAGACTTAATAAGCTCGACCCTCCTTGCATAGGATAAAGATGAACTCTCCCAAGATCTAACTTTGCTCTTGATTACCCTGACAAAGGGAGCACAATATGCATGCATGAGATAATCGAGTGCTAGAAAGGGGGGAACCCCAAATACCGAATTGGTAAAATCATATCTAAGGTCCTAGCTAATAGGATCAAGCCTCTTCTAGGAGGTTTAATCAATGAAAATCAAAGTGCTTTTACCCCAGACAGATACATATAGGACAACATCCTAATAGCTCATGAAATCATACATTTTATGAAAAATGCTAGAGGGAGGACTCCTTGAATGGCATTGAAACTTGATATGAGCAAAGCCTATGATCGGGTGGAATTAAATTTATTGGAGAAAACCATGGAAAATATGGGATTTGGAGTAAAGTGGGTAAATTGGGTCATGAAATGTGTGACTACTGTTTTTTATAGGATCTTAGTCAATGGAAATCCTGTCAAAAGTTTATCCCAAAAAGGGGGTTAAGGTAAGGAGACCCTCTGTCACCATACATATTTTTACTTTGCTCTGAAACTCTGTTTGCAAAGTTCACAGAGCTTGCTTCCCAAAAGAAAATAAATGGCATTTCAATTACCAGGAATTGTCCAACTGTCTCTCATTTGTTTTTTTGCAAATGACAGTTACAAATTTTTTAAAGCAGAAATGGGGGAAGGGCAAAGTATTCTGGATGCTCTCAAATTTTATGAAGAGGCCTTATGGCAACAAGTAAATTTCTCCAAATCCGAGGTTTTTTCAACAAGAATCTGTATCATAGATTACAAAAGCTTTTGGCAAAATTTTAAAAAATGAAAAGAGTAGAAGCTCCCTCCATATATCTAGGACTTCCCACAAAAATTGGTAAATCAAAGAAAACTCTTTTCAACTTTATAATTGAAAGAGTGGAGAAATTGCTTTCAAAATGGCATGAATCTCTTCTATCCCAAGCAGGGAAAGAAGTCCTGATAAAAGCAGTAGCCAGTGCAATACCTAACTACACAATGTCTTGTTTTCTCCTACTAAAGGAGGTCTATAATGAACTTAAGAGAATCCAAACTAGGTTTTGGTGGGGGGGGGGGGACAAAGGATCAAAGGAAAACACACTAGGTTAGTTGGGAGGTTCTCAACAAAAATAAATGTGCAAGAGGGTTGGGATTCAGGGATCCTTATAGTTTTAACCTGGCATTGCTAGCAAAGCAAGCCTGGAGTATGTAATGAAGAAAATAATCTTTGGGTTAAGATCATCAAAGCTAAATACATCAGGGGGAGAAATTTCCTAACTAACAATCTGCCTACTAGGGGTTCATGGGGATGACAAAGTTTGGTTCCAGCTAGAGAGGTCATTCAGAAGGGGGCCCATTGGGCTGTACATTCTGGTAAAAAAGTTAGGACATGGGATGATCCTTGGTTAAAACAGGTTGAGCCATTTCAAATTATAGGGCCTAGAACAAATAGCCCAGAGTTGACTTCGGTAAAGGATTTCATGCTGGTGGAGGGTAGAAGGTGGAATACAAGAGTGGTGGAGGAAAATTTCGGGGAGGAATTTGCTAAAAATATTATGAGTATAAAATTAGCTAGGGGAGATTGGGACGATAAGCTGAAATGGACTTTTAATCCAAAAGGGTTTTATACAGTTAAAACTGGGTACTAAGCTTTAGTTTATCAAAATAGTAAACCAGCCACTAGGACATCGACCCCTCTGAATGCAATAAATATGGGGAAAAAGATGTGGGCTGAAATCTGGAAAGCAAAAATCAACCCAAAATTAAAAAAACTTTATTTGGAAATGTTCTCAAAATGCCTTAACTGTGAGAAAAAACCTCTATAAAAGAAAACTCTCGAATGATAGCTTGTGTCCAATTTGTAACCAATAGACTGAAACTATAATGCACTGCCTTTTTGAATGTGAATATGCAAAAGCTACCTGGTTTGGCTCTCACCTAAGTTTTATGGGTGTAAGAGGTGGATTGAGCATATCCTTCAATGGTTGGTTTTCAACTTGGGTAGATTCATGCTTAACAAGCATAGATAGAAAAGATGAATTACTTGCTTTCTCATTTATGCTATTATGGAATATATGGAAAGATAGGAACAATAAAATTTTTGAGAATACTGACCCAATTCCCAGAGTTACACTGGCAATTTCTTACAGGATGTAGAGGGAGAGAGTGATGACTTCCCCAACAGGATTGCAAGATTCTTCACCTCAACATCCAAACCTGAGTGAGAGGAAATCTTTTTTTTTTTTTGGAAACCACTAGAAACAGGGAAGCTCAAGATGAATGTGGATAGGAATTTTTTGTGTCCTGGTAGTTCAGGTTTTGGTGCAGTTCTTAGGAATGATGTTGGTGCAGTCATAGTTGCAGTTTTTGGCAAATCTACAACATTGTCTCCCATTCAAACTGAAGCAATAGCAATACTCAACAGTCTGGAGGTTTTGAGTATGTACAAGGAAGAAGATATAGAAGTGGAATCGAACTATCAACTTCTGGTGCAGGCTTTAAAGACGGGAAACTTGAAATTGATCTTGGATGCAAACTTTCTATATTTGAACATTAATTTATTGATTAAAGATCTAGCAATTTCTTTTAATCATGTAAATAGATTTTGTAATATTGCTACTTGCATACTAACCAAGAAAGATCTAAAAGAGTCTGAATTATTTATCCAAGATCCACTTGAATGGATTCAAGATCTGGTCAACCAAAATTTAATTAGACCTTAACTGTACTCTATGGCTGTTTTATTATTAATGAATTCATCTAAAACTAAATGTGAGAACATGGGTACAAGCAAGAGTAATAAATACGGGGAAACAGGGTCCTTGCCGCAGTCTCCAACTATTAGGGAAAAAGCCTTGTTGGGCTCCACCATAAAGTGTGGGGTAGCCCTAATCCATTGAACAACATGGTCAGGAAAACCTACGTCAGTGATACCACGTCATGAGGTTAGGGCTCGGTGTTAGGTGGGCTCCACCCATTTGAAAATGACGAAATGTTGCAGGTAAAATAATCATGGACACCATTTATATATATGGTCCGACTACGTTCAATGCTGATGCATTACACTGTATCTCATCACCCTCTCTGCACCAAGTTGCAGAAGTGCTCTTTTCTCTTTTTTTTTTTTTTTGTTTTTTTAACTGCAGAAAGAAACACTTGTCGAGTAGAGACTAGAGAGTGACGCCTTCGCCTTGACGGAGGGTTTTATTTTTATTCGGAAGCTTTTTCGGTCTTGGTCGGCATAGAAGAAGGACATTGGTGAGGCCTGAGGGAGTGGAAGAAGGGGATTGACGTGGGAGGAGAAGAACAAGAAGATCGATGCGGAAGGAGGAGATTGTCTGCAAGCCTGCAACCAGGTCTTCCTTTTTCTTTCTTTCTTTCTTCTTCTAGTCTTCCTCCTCCTCTATCCACTGTCGGCGTACAGCGTGCGTTTTGATTGTCCTCATTATCCCTCTCTCCCAGAAGAACCTAAATTTCCCTCTCGGTCTCTCTTAGTCTCGAACCGACATCTCTCTCTCTCTCTCTCTCTCTCTCTCCAATATCCATAAATGATAAAAGAGCCCTTCTCTCTAAAACAAACTAGGGGCTTCGCCAGTTCGCATTCTCTCTCTACATGGGTTCTCTTTTCTCTACAATCTGCACTCAGCACTTGTTCAATCAATTCAACTTATGCTTCAACATAACATCCATAATCCCATACCTTTTTCCTTACTTGCTTTTTAGATAGATGATAAATGGATGATACTTGCGGTTCTTCAATTAATTGCTTGTTGATGAATGGAATCATAATTTGTCGATTTCAAATATTACAATCTTTTGGTTATGTTTGATATGGTTCATTGTCAACTGGTAGAAGACATTACTGTCCTTCAACTCTAATTCTGTCTGTTTGCTAAATAAAAGTTAATTATCCAATGTTTGTCCCAGCTATCTGGGTCTTGGGAGGAATGGACTGGATACAGACCTAACCTTCGGCATTTTTTTTTTTTTTTTGCACAAAGTGATTTCTCTTAGATGGCTGCTCGCCATAATTAACCCAAAATTCTAGGATTTCTTTTGTGAATTTCCATCTTAGAGGCCCTCAACTGTTGCGTAGGTTCGCTTATATCCTTTTAGGCTTTCACAACCACGTTCCATCTACTTTAATTAGAGATGCTGATTTATCAAAGATAAGTTCTAACAGTGTGGACTAGAATCGTCCTTATCAGAAAAAAAAAGAAAAGAAAATGTGAACTAGAACCGTACCAAATCCAGCTTATTCTATCCTCACCTTATTTCTTTATTTATGCTGTACTTTGTTTTTCATTGATGCCATTCTCTTACTATGGGGCCCTTATCGGAGGTTGCCTTTCTTTATTTATTCTGTTTTATATATAAAACAGAATTAATGGTATCATATATCTTTTTAAAAGAAGAGGTAATATATATTCTCTATTTGAATGCATTTTTTATTGATTATTGCATTTCTGCTTACAGCTTGTTATGAGTTTCCTTTATTTGTTTCTCATATTAGTTCTTATCTGTTATTATTGTTAGAATGTTATTTAATGTTGTTATTTTTCTTTCTTTTATTGATTGGGCGGCCAGGGGTATAATGGCCATTGTATCCCTCATTGAATTTATATATAGTGTTGAAGGGGGCGGATGCTAGAACTTTTGGCACCCCTATCATTCTTCTTTCTTTTCTGCTCTCTTCTATACCTCTCTTGTTGTTTTCACATCAAATCAATCCTTTTTCTTGCCTTTTAGTTTTCACACAAATTCAAGTTTGAGAAAAGCTCGCCTCATTTTGGAAAAAAACCCACTTCATTCTATGGTTGGTTCTCTTTGCAGTTATGTCCTTATTATGTCAGTAGAAGCTTGTAGGTATAGGAGATTGAACTTGGAACTTGATGAAATGGAAATTATCTGTGTGTGTGTACGTGTGTGTGTTTGTAGCCGACAATTTAAAATTGAATTTGCACCTAGCTTGCAGGTGGGCTGGAGGACCAAAAGCTTAAGGGGCCATTTGATAACAGAAGAAGTGAATGAACTGAATGACTTATTGCTTTGTCTTTATCTGATAAAACGATTAAATAATAAAATATTCAGAGGTAAAGTATTGGATCCAACTTCATCTTCAGCCATCAACCTTCTTGATAACTTATTCACTAAAAAGACAAAGCAAGAAGCCATTCAGTTTGGCTGTCATCAAATGATCTCTAACTGATGCAGGGACTGGAAAGCGATTTCTTTATTTTTTGAGAAACAAAATTTTGTTTTGGGAAATTTCAGCATGGGTCTGGGGTTTCACAAGAATTACTGTTAAAATAGAACCCCTAAGTATGTTTTTTGTTAAATAGATATTAAAAATCTCCTAAATTAGATGCAGTTTAGTCACTTTGGTTTATTTGAATTGTGAGTTAATTCATGATGTCTAGATGGTTCTATTTGTCTTGTGGGGCATGATGTACTTAATTTCCTCTTTTTGTTCTGTTATGGGGTTTTAATAAAAAAGGCCATTATCTGTGGTCTTGGGTGGGGTGGACCAGAAAAGAATCTAGGCAGTGTGGTCTTTCTCTCAGACTCACCCACATTCTCACACCACTAGTAATGCAAGGTTTTACCACTGCACCAAACAATGGCCTCTTAATGGCTAAATAATTGAAAATTTCAAGAGTATATTGTTTTTGGAATAACCGCGAACTTTAATTTTTAGGAGTGGAGACCCTTGCCCAATGTTGGTCCCAGATATCTGGGATCTTAGGAAGGGTGGATTGGATACACTCCTAACATTTGGTATTTTTTTTTGCACAAAGTCGCTGCTCTCAGACTCGAACCCACATTCTCACACTTGACAGCCTTGGATTTTACCATTACAATGGCCCCTTTTAGGGGTATATTCCTTTAATCCATATTTCTAATTCATGCCCCTAGAAGCACGCTGCTTCAACCATCTTTCATTTGGTGCACTGCTCTCCGCTTCAGCAAGTAGAGAAATACATCCTCCACCTCTGTATCCAACAAAGGATACCTAAATCTTGAGTACTACAGAATCTATTGACCTCTTTCTTCAAAGCATTGGTTTAGTGTGTTATTTTTAGAACTTACTCTATATAACCTTGGTCAAACTTCAAAGCAAATCCATGATAACTGGAGTAGTCTAGCTTAGTTTCATCTTCATTAGCAATTCCACCCTCACAAATATCACCTATTCTTTCTTGTCTCATTTGTATTTAATTTCATAAAACCATTTGGTCTTGATCTGCCTCTTAAACATGGTTAGTTGACCTTGCATGCTAATTTCTATTTTTAAGCATTTCTCTCCATGTTGCATCCTGATGTAGAAGAGGGCCATGTTTTTGTGTGAATTCTTTCTATTTCGGTTCCCCATTGGACGTTAGATTGAAGACTTAAAAAATTGGACATTAGATTATCTTACTAGTGGGGCTACAAACTTGTCTATTTGATTATTTCTGGGTTGACATATATGTTTTCTCCTCCTTAGAGATGCACTGTATTACTAAAGCGGATAGTTTTTTTTTTCAGCCGCAATCCGGAAGTTCTTTGGGCACAGCGTTCTGATAAGATTTACCTGACCATAGCTTTGCCAGATGCGAAAAATGTGTCAGTGAAAAGTGAGCCCGAGGGGTTATTTAGTTTCTCTGCCATGGGTGCACAAGGGGAATCATTTGATCTCAATCTAGAATTGTATGGAACCATTGTTCCTGAGGTAAGCATGTTACGATCCTTTGTTAAAGTACCTATATTTTCTAGTTATGAACTAGATATTTGATTTTAGCAATTCTTTGTTTTCTATATCTTCTGAAATTATGAATTGTTTATCATCTTTCTTCCACTGGGTTGATGGTTTGGGCTAATTTATTAAAATATTATGACAGAGACATTGTGGGATGGAAGTAAGTCTGTGTGTGGTTTACAACTGATTATTTGTTCAAATGATGCAATCTTTACAAAAGACGAAGGTTTTAAGTTGCAACAGGATAGAAGTTGTCAGAAAAGTCAATGTGGCTAGAAAAGCAGAGTTAATGTTAATGAGAATATTAATGTGAATTGTATTATGAAAGGGGAAGTAGAACTAAGTCCATTAACTCTTGAATTACTTCCCCCTTTGGAACCACTGGTCTGCTGCTAATAATCTGATTTCCTTAGTATGCATCTATGTATCCAGTTCCTGATGCTTTGCTCCTTAACCATTGTACTTCCAAGTACTACCTTCGATCCCCCTCCACTATGTTCTTATGTATTTTTTAATGGAAAGATAAATAAAAATTGATAGAAGACAGATGATACAATGACCTTGGAGGGGGTATGACTTATTTAAAGCTCTCAACACGGAAACCTTTCTTTTCTTTTCTTTCTTTCTTTAGTTATTCCCCTTTAAAGAAGCCTTGATAGAAAACATATTGGTTAAAGTGGTTTGTTGGGTTAAATCTCTGCATAATTTTAAACTGTATTCTGATGAAGACATCTTGAGAGGATTGTAAACTGTTGTAATGTATACACCAGCAAGTATTTATCAAAGAAAAAAGAAGTCTACACCAGCAAGGAGTAAAATGCAACATTTTTGGTGGTATCTTTAGGGACATTAATGTTATGATTATTGGCATTATACTGTGGACCTGTAGTTCAAGGTGACTCAACAAGGGCTGAATTACTAGCACTACATCTACATCGGGGACTGAAGTTAGGGAAATCATTAAACTACAAAAAATTCACAGTGGAAGGTGATTCCTGAGTAGTAGTAGTGCACTGGTTTAGACACTGTTGCATGGACTATCCTAAATGGACAACGTGTCTGTGTTGGACATGTGTTGGAGCCCGATACTCCACAGATTGGTGAGGACATTTCTATTTAACATTTCTTTTCTGTTTCTTACCTTAGCTGACATGAATGAACAACTAAGTTACAAGATGAATTCCATTTATCATATCAAACATTTCTTAATAACAAAAGCAACCTTTTTTTTGTAAGCAAATAATGTTGTAATTCAAAAAGTATGAACTACTTTAATATAGTACATTTATCTGTATACGTGCAAGCCCATATTTTCTCATCTTGCCAAGTTAGACTCTTGGAAATGTATTGGATTCTGACTAGGGTTGCAACTTGGGCCAGGTTAGCCCAAACCCAACCTGAAAAAGTTGGGTTGGGTTGAAATTCAGGCTAGAGTTGAAAACTATGAACCCAACTTAACTTCAGGTTGGGTTAGGATTGAGGCATTGGCCAATCCAATTCAACCCAAACTTGACTTTGCTTCATATTTGCATGTTTAAAATACTATATAGACATTTATTTATGTATGTAAGTACTTATGTATATATGTATGTATGCATGTGCGAAACTATGCATCCATAAATGTATTTATGTATATGTGTATGCATGTATTCCATAAATATGTGTATGTATGTATGTATCTATATGTATGCAAGTTGACAATTTTAAATTTAACGGTAATTTTTTCTCAAAAAGCATGATAACTATGTTATTTTACATATAATAATGCTAAAACTGAATTTACCTCGACTCTTAAGTCTAAGAAATAAGAACATTTGGCAAAAGGAAGTAGAGAAGTCAGGCCAACCTGAACCCAATCTTGAACAGGGTTAGGGCTAGGGTTGGAGGTTCCAGAGCCCAGGTTGGGTTAGGGTTGATCCCATCCTGATCTAACCTGGTCTGATTTGTACCCATAGTTCTGTCTCCTGTGTCTGTGGCCGTGCAGCAACATTTAGACATGACACCCCCGGGCCATGGCAGTACTGACATGTAGTGAGAGAATTAAGACAGTTAGCAAGAGAATTGAGAATTGAAATTAGACAACCAAGAATTGGCTAATGACAAATATCTTGGCTAAACAAGTGGCAAACAAAGGGTTGTACATACTAGCATATGGATAATGAAATGGCAGTTTCATAATTTTTGGAATATTCAATATTTGGTATTTCAGCTTATTGGTGTCTTAGGAATAATGTTTTTAAGTTACTATTCTTAGTAAATATCAAAGTTATTACTCTTATAGTAATTCCTGTATTTATAGTAGAATCATGATTTACTATTTTTAGTAATTTTAAGTGCCTTTGCAATACATTAGTTTTAATAGAAGTAGTAATGGGATTTTAGAGTTATTTAATGAGTCACAAGTCCTCGTTTGGGCATCCCTATGGGCTACCTTAACTTTAAAGTGGTTAATATTTGTTTTAGCCTTTTAGGTTAGTTTTCTAGTTGAAATTGGAGTCTGCGAAGGAGATCTGAGCTCTCATGTTTAATTTATAAATAGTCATTGTACTTGGAATTTTAGAGTGGAATTAATTTATAAATAAAGTCATTATACCAGTGATAAAACAAGACACCACAGCTGACATCTTTATTGTTGTTAAAGTCTTTATGGTAAATACACTTGTGAAACATGAACTATTGAAAAGTAAGTAAACCATGTGATGTCTTTAATGTGATTGGTTGAAATCTTGATTTAACGTGCAGTAAATAATCCTAAATGTGCCGTAGTTGGAGTGTTGGACTCTCTGATGATCTATTAACCTATATGGAAAAATAGACTGATAAAGACAGCTGTTATCCACCAATAGAGCTTGGATTATGTGGATATATTTGAGGACTGTAGATGTATGGATGACATGGGAGGAAAAGAATAATAGGCTCTTTGAAGAAAGAAAAGGACTCAAGAAGCAGTCGAGGAAAGCATACAAGTAAAAGATTTGTGGTGGGGGAAACGACTCTAAAGAATAAAGTCTCGGGCCTTTATATTTTGTCATCTCATAAAAAATTTGGGGCACCATTTGCTTTGATTGCTTTCAATGCTTAACATTTATTTGAAATTTTGAATGTGAGATGATACACTAGTTTATGTTAATGCTATGCAATTTTTTGTCAATTGTTAATTCTTATTTTTGGGCAACTTTTCAAGTGATTGCAAACATGAGAATTTCTAATTTCTCATAAAATTTCCTATTTTTGGGATGTTTACTACATTTATTTATTTTAATTATTTATTAATTAAAAAAATGCATGTTTAAGAGGTTTAGGCCTCTTGCATTCTGGTTTGTGCCTCATGCATTAGGGTAGTGGAACATCTTGTGTCTTGCCTCAGTTTTTTAAAACATTGCTGCAAACTCACTAGCAGTCAACTCCCCATCAAGAATTTGCATACTTTCTTGTCTGTCTGTCTGTCTCTCTCTTTTGAAAAATAACATGATTACTTCATTAAAGCATAAAGATTTATTATTACATGAGGTCCAAAGCAAAATCCATTGGGGTGGTTAGCCAACACTAGAAACAGTCAATGACAATGCCAAAGTAACATCTCCCTCCCTTGGGGAAATAGTCCCTATTTTAAATAGAATTAACAACTTCCCCCCTTTGGGGAATTAGTCTCCTGGATGCCCCTTCCTTAGCTAATGAATCTGCTAGAGCATTTGCAGACATTGGTACCCAAACCACTATGGTTTCCTTTCTTGGTTTCTCTTAAGCCATCTTGTCACCACTTTTGATTGTCCTTCAACTATGAATTGTCTTAGGTTCTTAGTTTTGGTCCACAGGTCCAGAGAAAAGTGCCATGACATTCCCCTCCTTGTATCTAAATTCTAAAATTACCCCTGATTCTTGATTGTCCTGGGTTACCCAAGCTGCACCCATCAAAGTTCAATTTAATGAATCTGCCGCTGGACTCTCCCACTGAACTACCCACTGAACTATCACCGGTAGTCTTTGTGATGACGAAGATTCAGCCTGCTGGCTTTGAGCTTCTTAGTATATCATCAGTTGTGAATGAGCTGAATTTCTCTCTTGTTTTGACCCAATGCACGACTTTAATTAAGATGTTTTTAATGATCTCTTCTGCACCTTCTCTCTTTACCCTTGAACAGCCTTGCATTTTTTTTTGATGAGTGAACAGCCTTGCATTTCTCTCCTCCCAAATGCACCGTAAAACTACTGCCTTTGTGAATCTCCATAAAATCTTACCTCTTCTCTTCCTTGGATGGAAAAAAGATGACTGAATAAACTTCTTAGGTCAGAAGGAGGGGTCCACATGCATCCAAACAGATAAAAGAAAAACAACCAAATAGTAGATACACAAGTGCAGGACATTAGCAAGTGGAAAGAGTCTTCACTGTGTGATTTGCAAAAAGAACAGCAGTGAGGGGATATACACCAAAAAGGTTTTCTCTGCTGCAAATTCTCACAAGTATTAATTTTATCATGATAGACCTCCCAGCAGAAGGCTCTTATTTTTGGACAGGACCATTTGAGATGGCACTAACTCAGTAGGATAACGTAAGATTTAAGATTACTGATTAGCTCATTGAAGAAGGAAGCACAAGAAAGGAAACCAGAGGAAGTTAGTATCCAGACCTTGTTATCACTCCTTGAAGCATCAGGGGAAACCCCTTCTAAATTATTCAACAATGGGATCACATCTAAAAGACTTTGTCCCTTAGACCCCTTCTGAGGCCAAGATTCCAAACTGGATCATTTGGAGAGAAAGAGACACATTGAGATACTAGAGCCTCTTTTAGGTCTGAAAATGGAGAAAATGAGGGGTAATTTATCTTTTGAGGTCTGATCACCTCACCAGAAATCCTTCTAAAATTTAATTCTCATCAATTCTGACAAAAGGTAGGAAGGAAGAACTGACTGAATGGCTTTCCAAGGAGAGGAAAGAGGAGCACTGGAGTTTAAGCTCGTGACCCAACCATTGTCAGCCACCCCGTGAATGCTTTTAATGGTTTTATGCCACAGTTTGTCTGAGTCTCTAGGAAATATCTCCAACCACTTTCTAAGAAGAGCCTTGTTTTCTGCTTCTCAATCTGCCCAACCCTGAAACCCCCTTCCTTTTTACTCAAACACACCAGGTCCCACTTAATCAAATGATTTTTTTTAGTGTCTCCTGGGTCTCATAGAAATTCCTTCATTATTTTCTGCAAAATCTTGGCAATACTAGCTGGAATCCTAAGGACAGACTGGTGATAAATGAATTGATTGGCTGGGGTTGATTTTATTAAGGTAATTCTAGCCCCAAGGATATGTAGTTCTTCTTCAGGCCACTAGTTTCTTAGAGAACTTCTGAGTGATAGAATTCCAAAAGATAGAAGTCCTAGGTTACCTCCTAGGGGGAAGCCCCAAGTATTTAATTGGCCACCCAAACAACCAAGCATTCCAGCACCTCTGCAAATCTCCTTTAACCTCTCCTCCTCCATATTTGATTCTAGCTATACAGCTCTTTCCAAAGTTTACCTTCAAGTTTGAAATCTTCTCAAAAATCCTCATTAAGGTCTTTAAATTCTTGTAATTTCATTTTTATTTTACTACTAAAGAAAAAGAATTTGCTTATCTTCAACAAATGCCATTTGAGTTGGCTCCGCCATCTCATGCAACACTGCTCTAAGTCTTCTAGACAGCACTTTTAAAATCACTTCATATAGGATCGATATCAAACTAATGGGCCTGAAGTCCTTTAACAAACAGCCCTCTCTTTCCTTGGAAGTAAAGCAATAAATGTAGCAGTAGCACCTCTCTTGGGAATACCTGATTAGCAAAGTTTATGAAAATTGCCAACACATCTTCTTTAATGCTATTCCTACATGCTTTTAAAAAATGTCATATTAAAGCTATTAGGACCAGTTGACTTCTTACCATCACCTTAATAGCTTCTTTATTCTGTTCCAACCCAGAACTTCTTTCAGATCCATCCACTATATTGTCCTTCAATCTCTTCAAATGTTTTCTTTTTTCTTTTGATGATAGCTTAACTTTATTACTTATGAGAAAGAATGATTTATATACAATGGATCTGCAGCCTCTTCAACTGTTTCCAAGTGCAAAATGTCTTCTTGGCATTGCAGTATATAAGGAAATATAGAAGTTCCTCATCATCCAGCAATTTCATTATGCGACTCCAATTCTTTTATTCCTTTTTTTTGATCAATAACTCAGAAAAGAGATTTCATTAAGCTAATTAAGGCAGCACAACAAGAAGTTGTGAAGGATACAAATAGACACCGAGTGTCCAAATCCCCCAAGTATTACAATTGAGCCCAAAACATAGACCGCCTTTGTACCCCTTGTTTAGCTAAACCACCCGCCAAACTGTTGGCCGATCTTCTAACCCAATTAACTTGAATCAACATATCCCTGGAGAGCCTTTTGTCCCCCAACTGTCTTTGTACCCCTTGGGTGCCATGAAGCTCCTTCCCCTTTCTTTAACCAGTCCACAACTGTTTTGGAATCACCTTCAATAATTAGCTTTCCAAAACCCATTTCCTTGGCCTTTTCAAGCCCAAAAACAGCTGCTAAGAATTCTGTTGATGCCACATCACTTTGCCCAGCTGGGCTCGAGAAGAAGGCACATATATTACCTTCTTCATTCCTGATAACTCCTCCAATTCCAGCGGGGCCTGGATTGCCCACACTACTCCCCTCGAAATCCAGTTTCAATCAGCCACAAGGCGGGGGAGACCAGACCACTGTTGCAATCTGTCTTCTAGAAGATGAGGCAGCTATTGCCCCCCAAGTTCTGAAGAAATCATCAATCTTAAAGTCTGAGAACAAATTCAAGATCTTAACCCAATGTGTCACTCCTAGGGTTATGATCTCAATCAATGCTTCGTTATTCCTCTCCTTTTCCCTCGAAATTCTAGAGTTTCTTTCCTCCCAGACTGTCCAAATAACTGCTGCCCTTGTCCATTGTTCCACATCAGTCTACCTCTTTTAGTAGACCACCTACAAACAGAGGGGTTAAACCACCCTCTTACTAACAGGAGAGAGCCACCTGCAACCAAAAAGTGAAGCAAACCACTCCCAGATAAAGCCAACAAAAGGACAGAAGATTAGAAGATGAACTGCAGTCTCACCATTAAGCTTGCACAAGCTGCACCAGTTTGGCCTCTTCCTTTGAAGCTTATCACAAGTATTAATGCAACCATGAAACACTTCCAAATAGAAAGCACCGACTCCAATTCTTCTCAAACTTCAGCCTTGATATACAATTTCTTCTCTCCTTGCTTTCACATAAGCATGGAATCATGCAGTGTTTCATAACCTGCCTTAATTCAAAGTACTCTATCAAATCTTTTCCCTATGAGTTGACTCTGAAAGCTCCTTTTTATTCCTTCCCTTTCCACCATTGCTTCTCCAACCAGGTTGATCCAATTCCTCCACTTTGTCCAACCACACCATTTTCTCTAAATGTGTTTCTTTTCTATTCATCAAAAATACCAAAAGCGTTTCTATTCAATCTTTTTAAACTTCAATTAATTCTTGCAACTTCATTGGCGAAGAACTACTCACCCTATCACCAATTATCTATCATCTCAAAAAACTCCAGATGTTCCAACCATATATTCTAAAATTTGAATGTATACAATCTCTCCCTGATCACAGGGTAATGCCAGTGGTATTTGTGCTATGCCGAATACCTTTTTTTTGCTTATCTTATGAATCATCATTATCAACCATGGGTATTTTTGGCTTCTTTGCATTTCTAATTCTTCAAAATTTATCTTGTCTGCAGGGAAGTAAAGTTAATGTTGGACTAAGAAACATTCTTTGCTCAATCCAGAAAGAGCAGAAGGGTTGGTGGAAGAGACTTCTAAAATCAGATGAAAAACCTGCACCTTACATCAAGGTTGATTGGAACAAGTGGTGTGATGAGGATGATGAAGAGTTGATCAAGTGTAAGTTGACATTGGGTTCCTTTTATTGTTTAGTTCATCCGAAGTTTGTCTTTGGTGCTTTCATGGCACTTGGCAGGAATTGAATCTGAAATGTTGCTTAGTTCTGAAACTTCATACGAATTTCATGTTTCACTTTGCTTTTGGATAGTTGAAGGTTGGCATTTCTCTCATGTCACCATACTGTATGGACCACCTGTATGTATTAGCATCTTGTATGCTAGTAATATAAATAAACTAGTTCCACTGTTTCTAGTTGCTCCTGATGCAGGGACAAAGCAGTGTTTTAAAAGCACAAGGGGCATTTTACACCCAAGGTGCAAAATGCAAAAATGCAAAAAGAAAAAAAGCGTACAAAATAAAAAATGCAAAAAATATATATTAGTTAAGAATCTAAACTTAAAATTTAAAATAAATGTTTTAAAAAAGCCTATTATCTCAAGTTTTTAAAAGATATGTTCCGGGGCAAATTTTGAAAACATTTATTTTAAAATTTAAGTTTATATTTCAAACATTTATTTAAGCTTAGCCACTAGGCTTAAAAAAAGGGAAAAATGCGCAAATTTTGAAAATGCACATGCTTAGGCTGAAGCACAAGGTGTACCAGGTACATACCTTTTGGAAGTGCTATGCCTGGGGCCTAGGTGAGGCGTATACCTTAAAATGTGCCTCAGGTGTGTCTTTTAAATTACTGGTTTCTTGGTCTTCTGGTAAGTGGTGTCAATTAGTCTGGGTTGATCAAGACATAGGCTTGTAGATGTAGAGTTGGTTCCTTCACTTCATTTCATATGTTATTTTAGCTTTATGAGCGTTTCTGTATATCAGTCTATTCTGCTCTACCTATTACTGCTGTAAATATGTTGGCTGCATTTGGTGCATCTTTCCGTGCGGTCTTTCGGCTGTTTACAAGTTGGGAAGACTGATTTTCGGTCTATTTCCATTTGGCGCACAGAAGATCTAGCCGCCAAAAGCCGGAATGCCGAAAAGACGCGAAAAGCCCATTTTGGGCTGATTTCGGGAAGCTCCAAATGAAGCTTTTTTGCATCTTTCATGGTTTATTCTCACGCGGAAAGACGCACGGAAAGATGCGTGCCTGCCAAACGTGCTTCGGACTGCTCAGATCTTCATGCAAAAGCTCAATGCGCCTTTTGACTGTCAGAGCTACCAGAAGATTTTCCCAAAAAGACACGCCAAACGAGCCCGTAATATTGTTCATCTGAATTCTGAAGGCAGAGAATGCATTAGAGTTTGATTTTGTGAAAGCGTTAGGCCCTTTATAGTCTCCTGCTAACTCTAGTCCCCAGCTGCCATCTCTCTCTCTCTCTCTCTCTCTCTCCCCCTTGTCTCTTGTTTTGCTTCTATTATTGACAGGTTACTGCTGAAGCTTTAGGTAGATCATCAAATCCATCAATTACAGAAGATCAATCTCAGCAATTCTTTTTTTTTTTTCTCACTCAAGTAAACCTCTCTCTCTCTCTCTCATTCTCCCTCCCTCCCACCCTTCTCCGCAGTTTCAACTGGTTTCTAATATTTCCCTATGAAAATACCCCTTCATGGAAAACCATAGAATCGTCCAAAACCCCTCCCATAGCAGCCACCCTCTAGAGAATCCATATTTAACAGCTCCTTTTTGACTAAATTATCAAAAAAAGAAAACATCTCCTTTTTGACTATTTTTCAAAAGTTTCCTCCTAGATCTCAAGCTATCACAATTCTCTCTTCTCCTTTTTGAAAATTATGCATTTCTGTTGTTGCAGGATTTTAGTCTTTAAACCTGTTCTAAACCCTTTATTAGATACTGTGTCAAGATGATACTTCATAACGTCTGTTACACCAAGGCACTGTACAAAGGAATGGTCAATGGTCAATCTTATCTGTCTATATACTTATTGGTGTTAATATTTAAATATACATTATCTGTTGCCAGTCAATATATATGTGGGAAACCGAAAACAGTTTCTGATTAGGTCAAGTAGATGCCCCCACTTATTTCTTTTAGGTGGAGGAATCCTTGGTCAATTTGAATCAACAATTAGATCTGGAATCATCTGGATTAGATGTGTTTCACCCCCAGTCCATCGAACTGTGAGCACCCCTAATAGAAGTATTTTTGAAGGCAAAGCTAGGAGGGACCAAATTTCTATGATTCGAGGAAAAAGAATTATGGAATGGATTCTAATTTTACTAGAATTTGAAGGGATCTCAAAGGAAAGAGATAAATCTAACAACACCCTTGTTTTGGCTGGTGACAGTGTACTCTAAATGTTTCATTAATGAAAGTACCGTTTCCAATAAAAAAAAGGTCTCATAGGAAGCATTTGGAAATGATTCCTGGTATTTATTTGAATAGGGATCATGGGGTTAATCTCTTGTATTTGTATTTGATCTTTTTGCTATTTTCTGTATGTCTTTTATGTTCTGATTGTATGTCTGGTGATCCCTTGACACCTTCTTGGATGTACTTTTTAATACAATTTTTCCTTTTTTGTTTATTATCAAAAAGAATATTTTGGAAGGATAGAATTAAATTTATAAATTGTTTGTCTTTTACTACATTATGTCCCCTTTGTCAAAGATCTGATGTGCCCAAATCACTTCGAATTCCCTCAGAGAAGGGCAGGCTTATTTTGGCTAGAGAGCAGTTCTGTAAGACAGGAAAGAAAAAAAAACGTTCAGCACTAACAAAAGTAAATTCAGCATACTAGACTTTGTCCACAATTAAGGCCCCTTTCGTTTTTTGGGAAGTTACTTACCCAGGTAAATGCAGTTACCTGGGTAAGTTTTTCCTGGGAAACACTTACCCGGGTAAGTACATTTACCCATGTTCTTTTATTTCTCATGTAAATAAGTAAATGACCATTTTAGCCATAAAAATTCATTATTAAAAGGGGCATTTTTGTCCCATTCAAGTGTTGGCAACTTTCTCCTTAGTCCCCACATAAACTTCCCCCGGGTAAGTGATACACAGGAAAATAAACTTCCCCTAATCCCCACATAAATCTGAAAAAAGAACATGGGATTCTTGATCAAATCCCATTGACCAACTTTCCCCCCTCTCAAAATCCGAAAAAAGAACGCCTCCTAAATAGTATATCCCAGAATAAACAATGGTCATACTTGGTTTTACTGATGATTTTGTATTCTTCTGCAGCCGATTTTGCTTCTGATGATGATGATGGTGCTGCGGTAATATTATCCTCCATTTGTATTTTATGAAAATAGATTTTGAACTTCCATGTTATTCTCTGTATAACTTTTCCCTATTGCAGGAAATTGGTGAAGATGAAAGCAGTGATGATGAAGGAATGCTTTGTGAGTCAGATATTAGTTTTTTCTGTTTTGACAATTCACTGCACAATAAGCACATTCCACACTTCATTTTTAAATGCATTTTTTTAAAGATTGTAAAACTGCATAAAATTGTAAGTAAAGTTCATTTGGCTCAAAAATAATCTTCTTTTGACTTGAATTATTCCTCTCATCAAGTTGCACCAGCTTTTCCATTAATCTTAGACCTGCATTAGTGCTGCTTCACATCAACTGGATTATTATACACAAATGATTTACAGTGATAAATTGAAAATTTTCTTACAGATCTTCCTGACCTGGAGAAAGCCAGAGGAAAGTAAAGATGACCTAGAACCAAGCAATAGACAAGACTCAGGATTTTTGCTTACAGAGAGAGTTGAAGACTCGGGTTTTTTGCTTTTCTTTTGCGTAAATCTTGTAATGGTGTTCAGGCAAACTAACAATGATCTAGAACCAAGCAATAGACAAGATCTGGTCTTAACAGATACGACCTTTTTGGCGTTATCTTCGTGGCCTGAAACAGAAACTTGAAATGGTGTAAATGATCAGCAATGGCAGGCTTTTGTACATCCAAAACTTATTTCTTGTTTTCCAGAAGCATAGAAATATAGAACTATCTTTCGTCCCAGATGTTAGGCTTTATTTCTGACTACTTCACAGTTCACATTCAAATTCTACCTTGTAAACAATTGTTCTCGCACAAGACAATCACAACCAGGATCACTGGGTCAGGAGTTATATCCTTCACCATTAGCCATTGATGATAACCCCAGTTTCGCTGCTGCAGATCCTTAAAAAGAGTGCAGTACTCACAGAAAGCGAGTGATAGGTTGAGATGAGATCATGGTGTGTACGATTGCATCAAGCCAGTTTCGTAGCATTCGCTGTTATAATCAGTGTGGAAAGGAGTAGGGGTGCAATTCAGGTTGGCCTAAGTGAGCATTTTACACTACATCAGACATCAGGCTTGGGCTTCGGGTGAGGTCTATTCAAATTTTGACAAAATCCCAACCCTCACTTCCTCCCCAGCTCCCCCCTGGAGGAAAAAATCAATTTGGCGTTTCTACGAAACAGCCTGCCTCTTGCATTTTTAAGGTATGTTTCAATTATCAATAACTTCAAATAATGTTAAGTATGCAAATTTGTACTGGTCAATCCAAAGTGTTTTAGGTAAAAACAGCATGGGTACTAATTGCCAGACAACGTTAAACATTTGGTGGACAAAAGCTTTTGGTCTTTTGTTATTCCTCCCAATAAAATAAAGGGAGATATTATCAGGCTGTAAAGACCGAGTGGATTTGCACTGACCAAAGCCGAACTCTACATGCATATAGATCAAAATTTATCCAAGAATTTATAGTGGTTTGTTGTATCCACAAGACATTGTGCGTACAGGTCTCAACTTCCCATTTTGTTCCACTTATTTAGTACTTTTTTTATGAATTTCGGTGAATGCATTGGGTTTAGGGGACGCATTAATTTGCCAGCTGTCTCATTTACACAATCAGATTCCACCATTTGAGGGCTACCAGCTAAATCAATGTTTACGTGAAAATCCAAACAAT